GTATAACGGTCATGATCTAAACTCTTAACAAGTCAGGGATCTTCATTTCTATCGGACATTGTATCATCATCCTACTGTAATAGGTTTAGTTAAAGTCTTACATCCCATGTGTGATATATAAGCTATTGTGGTTTACATTGTAGATTTAACAGTAAAAAATAGTATCAATGAGAGTAACAGTAATAGCAAGAGTATAAGATAGACTTCTTACAGTATGTAGGTAATAACTCCAATAGACCAGCAGTCCACTGCTTTACTGTAGGGCTTCTGAGCTAATACCTCTGGAGCTAGAGGCAAGAAAAACAATTCATATTCAATACAATCTTTACACAGTACTTTCACTTTTGTCTTTTTTTTTTTTTTTTTTTTTAAACTTCATATGGCCTACTTACCCACATAGCCTGGGGTACCACAGGCTGTGGACATGATGCCCTTGTCCTCCATCTTTGAAAGTCCAAAATCGCTGATCATTATCTTGGACTTCTCATCTGGACTGTAGTACAACAAGTTCTCAGGCTTTGGAGGAAAAATAGATATTGTGCTTTACAGCAGGAAATTTGAATCAGACTTGATTCAAAGCTTAGATGAATTTATTAGTGACATTGTGTGTGTGCCTGTACACATACCTTGAGATCGCGATGTACTATGCCATTCTTATGCAGGTAGTTAACTCCCTCGAGTACCTGCCTTATCACTAAGCTGGCATCCTTCTCCGAGTACACTCCCCGGTCCAGGATCCGATCAAACAGTTCACCACCTGAAACACTGCCAAAATAAGAAGACAAAAAAAAAATCAGACGATAGCTGCTGCACGTATAAATACACAGCATATAGACGGAAGGTATGGGCTGGGATGGGCAGTACTTTTCATACATGCTATATTCTTATTTGTATTTGAGGATCATAGAAAAAAAAAACATATATACAGTATATATTTTATCTGTATTATCTATTTTTTTGTTGTTGTATTTTCTAAAATACAGAAAACGCTTTGTGTGGCGATTCGTAAAAACTGATTCTCATGCAGTTCTGGTGGATTTTTTTAGCAGATATTTTAGAAATTATTTGTAGTACAAAAACTTATAAAGCATTAGCACATTGTGTTTGTGAGCCGGTCATGAACAGTGCAATGGACAGTGCTCCCAAACCCTTGGACTCATCAGTCAGGAAAAAGACAACTGACTGGTTGTTTAGTAATTGTTTAAAATATTCCCTTTATTATTCATCAGTTGTTTTGCTAGCTAGTGATCTGGATACTAGCTATTAGGAAAACCTGCTGTTGTGTGGCCTGGTTGAGCTCTTAATAAAAAAGAGGAGAAAAATATAGCAGTAGGATAACCTTTGTGCTACAGAAATACTTTTGAAACCAAAAAGTCTTGATTGAATCTTTATGCTTTAGTGCAGACTGATGCGGTTTCTGAAGGATACCTTAGTGTTAGCGTTAGCTAGTTATCATCCACTGGAACAATAACATTACCGTTTTCAAGTGAGCTGGCAGTATCTCACATCAATACAAAATACAGCATTTTAATGTGATCTATTTTCCAGTTGCAATATTTTGTAGTTAATACATTTACATTTAGTTAATACATGATTATTTATACATCTGATGTATTTCTGCCCATTTTTGCCCTGAGTGTAGGCAAACAGATATTACTTACAGCTGCATGACAAGATAGTAATGAGTGCGACTTTCGTAGAGATCTTCCAGCCCCACAACATTCTCATGTTTAATCCTAAAAACAAATTGTCAAACAAATGGGTCATTTTGTGAATTACTGATTTTTTGTTTGTGTACATATATATATATATATATATACACTGCCCTCCAAAAGTTTGGAAACGCCTGAACAAAATAGGGTTTTTGGGCAATATCAGCATAAATCCTCTTTAGTTAGTGACCATTTTGAATTGATAATAAGGGACAACACAAACTATGAAAACATATTTTATTAAATAAAAAGTTTATGAACATAAACATGAACATAACATAGAAAAATACTCAAATT